AGAGTTGAACAAAAGCGACATTTAAAAGAATAATAATTATGTTATTTTAATTTTTATTAGAAGTTTCTTTTTTTTTTTTTGTTTCCCGCTCGGTATCCGAGGCTTCACCTCGACTAGTTCGGACTCGACCAGCTATGACGCACCAGAATGATGGGTGGGTCTCCTAACGAAGGCTGCTGCGTACATAAGGTTTCGAACTCGAGACCTTACTTAAACTGAAACAAATCACTTACCAGATTTAACTTTTCGTTGGTAGTAAATTAGTTTTATTAGTTATTAATAATTGAAGATTCCATTCCTAAATTTGATGAACATTCTACCTCTTTCAACTAGATACGCGGCTTATTAGACCGCTTGGTAGAGTTAAAAAAAAAAGTGTATATTCATTTGATTGATCCAAGTGGAAAAACGGCGACAAAAAACCGTGCATATCCTGCGGATGACCCAAGTACAGAATTAAAGAGATAAGGACCAAAAAGTGCAAAATTTGAGTTGAGGGACTAAATAGGTGAAGAACCTTAAAGTTTGGGGACGAAGAAGAGGATTAAACTTTAAATTGCGTTGTATCTGCAGTTCATTTGAGTTTGAGTGAAGCTTCCGCAGGGAAGAACAGGAGCGAAGATGATAAAGGCTGTGATGGTGATGAACACGGAGGGCAAGCCTCGCCTCGCCAAATTCTACGATTTTCAGGTATCTCTCTCAACTAAAGTTCGACTCCTGTTAATCATATTTCATGGAGATCGCGATGCCAGATCTCATCCTCTCTTGCGATTTCCGTTCCGATGATGGTTCTTGCTTCTAATTTTTTTGTGATCAGCCTGTGGAGAAGCAGCAGGAGCTTATACGCAGTGTGTTTTCAGGTTCCTCTTTTTGTCTCTGTTGATCAAATTGAAATTTGTTTGGATCGCAACTCACAAGTGTTAGTTTAGTTATAGCCGATGCATCTTTAGTTTCTTTGCAATTTCGTATGGTTATTCGATGCTATTCATCATGCTTGATTCTGTTTTGGTACCTCTGCTTTCAATTGCGATTTTGATCTTTTACGCAGTCTTGTGCAGTAGAGCCGAGAATGTAAGCAATTTTGTGGAGGCCGAATCCATTTTCGGTCCTGTAAGTTATTTTTTACTTTCATTGTCTTGTATTGATCTGGTTATTCAAAATGTCTTTTCCTCGATTTCCATTTGAAGTTGAGGACATACAAAATATACTACTGACTTATTTCCAACTATATATAGGCCTTGCGAATTAGGAATTAGATGCATGGTTATCTAATTGTGATGCATCCTGCATTTTTGTTATCTTAAATATCTTGAACGCTTTAGTCTGGTTGATCGCCTTCAAATGTTTAAATGTTTCTGCATTGTTTCACCGTTTTGTACTTTGATAATCTCATGATATTCTTAATTGAGCGTTGAGACATGCTTTTAACTGCTACAGGCTCTATTTCAGCTGCTTTGCCATTGAATCCTCTTTAATTTCTTTTTGATCTTCTTTGCAGGACAGTTGCCTTGTATACAAGCACTTTGCGACTCTCTACTTTGTCTTTGTATTTGATAGTTCCGAAAATGAGCTAGCTATGCTTGACTTGATACAAGGTATGTTTTAGGCACAGAAATTCATGGCACATTATTTGTGCTATGTTCCTATTTTTTCTTCACTAATTTCTGTATAAAATATAGTGTTCCTTGAGGTTAAAATTTTCATTCCAATTGGATACTGCTCTTTGTTTGAATTGAATATTTGTATGAACGCATGTTTTAAATACTGTTCTATTCAAGATATTTTCAAAGGAGAGAGGGAAATTGGTGGATTCCCTGAGCCATCACTTCTGTTGAGTCACCCAAGAGGCTATGAATCAAGATTAATGCCTCATTTTTCATTAGCATCACTATCTCAATCACCTAATTAAATGCACAGCCTGTTTGGACCAATAACTTTCTCAATGTTAGTTTCCATATAAATATATCTACTGCATGAGGCAAAATTAACAATCACTGGTCTTGGTTGCAATCTCCCCTTAAACTATATGGTGAATGGTTTGTGGCTGCTTTAATTCAGTCTCAGACTCTTAGTGATGGGGACAAAGTAATTGGTATCTCATGCCTGTCCTCCATGCACTAAGGAGCATAACATTACAATGTCTGCCTCTACTACTTTGTCTGAAATATTGGATGGTGTACTTACACTTTAACTGTGATGCCTCCAGTTTTTGTTGAAACGTTGGACAAATGCTTCAAGAATGTATGTGAGCTTGACATTGTGTTCAGTTACAGCAAGGTTGTATGTCGCCCTTACTTGTTAATATGTGAATTTCAGAAAAATGCAGTATATTTACTTTTTGGGTTTGGTATAGTATGATCCCATTAGCATAGTTCTCTTGTTGGTGGATATATCTATCATTTTAACCTGAGAAGTGTAGCTGTAGAATGGAGATGGGTCTTGCTTGATGGAGGGTTTATGATGCTTGGGCATTCTAGGCCAGTTGGAACTTTTCATAGTCCCTTTGAAAGGCAGCCAAAAAACTGAACAGCCTACCTTGGTTTCTCTTGTAGAAGAAGAAAATAATGGACTTGTGTATTGCTATTTACTAGACTAGATAGTCTATCTAACAAGTCTCTTCTCATCATCATTATAATATCACTATCTTCATACTAGACCACCTTCCAAATTAGTTCAAACTCTATGAAGTTCTAATGTCTTAAAACTCTTGTTTGACAATGTCTTATTCAATGTAATTAGTTGACGTTGTTATTAATTCTTTTGCAGATACATACTATTCTGGATGAGATAATTTTCGGGGGTCAAGTGCTGGAAACAAGTTCCACAGAAGTTCTGAAGGCAGTTGAAGAAATATCAAAGTATCATTCCTGTTGCTTACTTCTTTCTTTTTTCGCCTTTTTCTCTTCCTCGCTTCTTTTTTTTTTTTGTGGGTTTGGTGGGGGGCTTACACATTGATTGCATGCGTGGCATATTTTGTTTGCCTGCTGACGTGTTATATTTTATATTTCACATAATGTAGGTTAGAAGCTGCTTCAAATGCTATCACACTAGTTCCGAAGTCTGTTTCTGGTTGGCGTAGGTAGGACCGGCACACTATTCAAAGTGAGTTAAACCATTGCATATTTGAATGTTAATCATGGTCCTCAAATTTGCTTCTGGCTGCTGGAATAGAGAGTACATGATTTTAAATGTTTGAGCAAAGAAAATTGGTGTCCATACTAGCACACCATGAAGACATGTCCTTTAGCATAGTACAATTCACTGCTCTCATTATTTGGATAGTTTGTTCGTTTACCTATCATCTAGAATGTTCGTTTGGTCACATTAATACTCGCATGGACTGTACTGAATGGCTTCAAAATACAACTTTGAACATAGGAGCTATTTATTTATACACATGCAAGAGAGAGGAGGATTAGAATGAACCCAGAAAAAGAGGTGAGATGGTGGTGGGTTAGACAGTGGTTCTGGGACGTGACCTTATTGTTATTCGAAGCAACATTAACCGTTTTGTTTTTTTGTACATGGAAATAAACATTAACTTGAATGACGCATGTTTTATTTGAGGTCACTGATAGCTGAACAAAGATGCCTCTCTGAAGGCTGAAAGCCGAAACTTACTCCCAGTTTGACTAAGGCATGTCTAAAACGATGATGAACAGCCAGACCGAGACACCAGGAATGCTGTTCGTGTAATTTCATGTTCTTTTGAAATCTTGAAGAACTACCTGTGCAGCGTTACGACCAGGTGCACCCATAACACCTCCACCTGGGTGAGCTCCACTTCCACACAAAATAGTCCTGGCAATGGAGTCCTATAATTTGACCTGCATAACAAAGAAAAAATAATAATTACAAAATCATGGGCAGTTTCATTCAAAATTAAAATTAGTCAATGAAGTTAAGAGCGATTAATCCGATTTGGCATCCTTTGACAGGTCGCATGAGAAAGAGGGAATCTAACCCCATTGCACCATGAAATATATTTCCTCCTGAAGAGTATTTCAAAAATAAACAAAATGTGGTGATATTGGATGGCAGGATACGGAAAAAACTAATGGAAAACCAAGAAAGAGAAAATGCAGTTTAAAAATCTACATGATTTCCCTGGAGACATCATGAAGAACATAAAGATGATGCTCAAAGGAGAATGAATATAAAATTGTTTAGTAAAAAGTATTGCAGAATCAGAATCTCAAGGAATAGCATCAAATTTTAAGATCAAGGGGATAAATAGCAAATATGTTCAATTAAGGTGTTTTATGATTTACTTATAGAAGAATATGATCAATTTAAATAAAGAAAAAAGGTTCTTGGCCTAGAAAAAGAAAAGTAATAGAGAGGTAATAAAAAGTAGTTTTTGTTCAACTGATGCACAAAGGATACCTGTTAGGCCTATTTCCCTCTCAAGGTCTGGGGGAGTTAACAGGTCATGGCCAATGATTGATGAGCTAAAGCCTGGAGCATATTCATCAATCAAAGTGAAACATCTGTTTGCAAATGATTCCTGAGAAAGTAAAGAGGATAATACAATCAGAACTTCCAAGCTGCGAGCCAGAATTCATTAGCTAATCTATGCTAGACTATAATGGATTAATTGGTTCCAAGCAAAAATCCATATGCTAAACATGCTATGCTAATTGCTAACAAAGTAGCGGAAGCATCTTAGTTCGAATTTCTACTCACTCTGTAGACAGGATCTTCCCAACTGCCATTTGATGGTTTATACGGTGTGTACCGGATAAACAAGTTAACCGCATACTTTCCTACAAAGAAAATTTTAAACTTCTGTAAAAGCAGTAAGCAATAAATTCTCATGCATTTTTAATTGGCACGATCCATTTAAGCTCGATTATTTATCCATGAATCCTTGGTAATTAATTTCCTCTTTAAGAATATAGAAATGAGCAAGAAGCAAAAAGAAGGAAAGAAAGAATGCTGAAGATTTCCTGAATCTAGTTTGTCATAGGATCAAAAGGTCATTACTTGAAACAAACTCGAGCAACACTCCTGCATGTTTAAAATGCATGTGGATTCAAAGACAAGTTTTATGTGCACAACTGTACAATGGGCCTTTCTTCTTTTTTATTTCTTCATCCAGTGAATTCAATGAGTCTAATGCCACTTTGATGTGAAAACCCAAAAGTTGAAAAATATAAAATAGAGTAAGTAGTAGAATAGAATGAGATATGCATTTGGGATGCTGATAACACATTAAACAAGATTATCTTTCTCTAACCCATTTTGTGGATGATTATCGGTCTGTTCAGGATAAAAATTTATAAAAGATTAGGAACAAAAAGATTTCGAAAAAAAAAGATCTGAGTACCAGGTGGAGAAATAGTCTTATCCAGTACGGATGGAATTGTCATTTCAATGACTGGCCTTTGTTATGGAACTCCATTGACGGCATCTTGACTGGCTGAGTTTATCTCCTCCATATTAAAAAAAGAGTGAAACCACATGATATCTTCCAATTCAGGGTGTTGATGAATAAAATCTTATTAGAGAGAGAGAGAGAGGTTAAGACTTTCCATGAAACTCTTAATTAAATTACATATAACCAACCGTGTGATTATTATGTCAGGAGATTCTGTTCAACAGTCTTATGTTATCAACCGTTGCAGCAGACAAATTTGATGATAAGACAACATTTTGAGATTAACCCATATGAATGCAAAAATGATGCTTCCATGGTAGCTTACCTCTCAGAACCAATATGAATGGTACCAACATGTTGAGGACCTGCATCAGGATGACTCAACTTGCAACAAGAAAATGCTGGTAGTTTATCTTTATCCACAGCAAGGTTTATTTTTGTAGTTCCCTGTTGTAATAAAATAACAGTAGGAAAGGGTCAGTGTGGGGCTGGGAAGACTCATGCATTTTTTGAGGCTGCTGCTGTATGGTCTCATTTGATGTCTCATTAGTGCCACCAAGATTTCAAATTCATAAATTATGCATTTTCTACATTGGTATAATATAGTTGCTAAGGTTGATTTGATTTCCGCCCATATTTGTTTATGGGGAAATGAACAAAAACAAGTTGGCCAAAAAAAAAAGAAAAAAAAGAAAAAAAAGAAAGAAGAACTAAGAAGCCTCCACATGTTAGACATGAACATGCATGACTTCATTTAGTCTGACTGGAACAGAAACAATTTAAAAGCATATTCTCCATAAAAATCTGATCAACTTATCATTATGAAGTTGCATGCCACATGAAGACTACAAAAATATTAAAAATTTTCAATATTATAGCTTTAGGAACAGGATGATACTAATAAAAAAGGTGTGGGCTCTTAACAGAAAGCCCTTGGAGACTTACTGAGCTGTAATCAGAATACTTAATTGAACGGAGGAAATCGTCTGGAAGAAAACTACTAGGCACTAACTCCTGTATCAGAAAAACACAATCCATGGTCAATTTAAAAATTGATTGAGCGAGTTAAGGTGCTAACTATGATAGTTGTTTCCTATTTAATGTTGGTAACATTATTTTGCAACTTCTCCTACTAAGTACTAACAAAAAATTGAATTGGCAATAATAAAATTTACCATGAAAGTTTTATAAGGAGTTGCATTTGATAGAACAATTGAAGATTGCACCCGTGTACCACCAGCCATCAACACCTTAATGATATTAGCCTCGTGTACAATATCTAGTTAGTTTAATTGAGGTTTCACTTTCTGCTGCACTGAGGTAGTAGAAGATGAACTCACCCCACTCACTATGCCAGAATCCTCTACCACTAGTTGTGAAACCTAACAAAGAAATGATAGGAAGCATATAGTAACTCCAGAAGTACCAACGCAAACAACATAATCAATTAAACCAATAAAGATTAAAAGTTTGAGAATTAAGAGAATTAAGGCATGGCTTAGATCAACTAGTCAAAGGTAATCTGGACGATAGTCCAACCAAGCAATCAGACTGAATAAATTAAGAATGAAAAAATGCAACACTGACATCAATTCAACCATTTGAAAATTTGTCTTTACTTGTTGAGATCTGCTGGCCATTAGGATGCAATCCATCATTTCTAGTGATTATCTTCTCTAAGTTAACTTTCAATATTTCCAACAATTTCAGAAAGTAGATCTTCATGACCAATAGCTATTACAAGTTACAATCAAATAAGATATCAAGATACAGATTCATAGATTAGTTCTATCCAATCATAAAAAGGAAGATGGATGAAGAAAGCAAGTTTGATTAGAGACAAATTTTACCTCTGCACTTGTTACAATATGTGCCCCTGCTTCTGTAGCAGCATTGCCAATAGCCTTTGACACTCAGCCCATACCACCTTCAACATATCTACAGAAGTTTTAGTTCTCAAGAATCTAGTTCCATAACAGTAAGGGAGAGCTTGTATGTTGAGATGTTACATTTCATATTGGTCAAAATTTAAAAACATGTGGTTTAGTGTAGTTGAAGCTCAATGTTTACATGAGAAGCACAGAAACCAGTGTGGGAATTATCATCATAGCTGAAATGAAAACAAATCAAAATGAATCTCAAACAATTGAACATTAAGTATGATGGATACAGAACTGTTCCATTGTATTTTGCAGACTTGTGTGGCAAAAAAACAAAAAAGATATGGCAGTATCATTTTGTAATTTGGAAAAATTAGAAAACATCAACTATTTTTCTTTCAATTTAGAGTCTTTCAGGAGAATGATTATATTAATTGCTGCTGGTTACTTAAAAATTGAAGAAACTTGAGAAAAGAAGATTAACATAATAACATATAAAACAATGATTTGGAAAGAAGCTTTAATGTTCATATACTAGTGCAGATAAGTTACATGTGAGTTTCGTGTGAGTTATCAGAAAGCATCCATATGAGAGTCAGTTTTCTCCTCTACTTCATGCTTTCGTGTGAATGAGAAGAAAGAGATGAATTAGAAGTTCTTCCATTATATGCCTCTAGTTATGAACATTGCATCAATAGTTAGGACGTATCAATGCACAATTTACATACAAAGTCAAGAAAGAACTGAATACCTTTCTAAGCACTAATACTTGTAATGAATACTATTGCAAAGAAAAATAAACCAAATGTAAAGGAATGGAGAAAGAAAAATATTTACTAAATACTAATAAGTGCTTATTAACTTAGCTACCTCATGTTTCTGTTTTTCCAATATTTTATACGTTAGAATACCATTATATAAGTTCCAACTCCATTTTACTTCCTATAGACTTCAAGTATGCAACATTTGGGAAGTGACCGTTTGCAAAGACAAAAAACTAAAGAAAATATAGAATAGTGGGGTAATTCATGGATTGCTGTTTAGCTAATGCACAAGTTAATATCAAATCCAGCACCAGCATACAAACACCGAAATTCCACAATCCCCATCAGTTTCTCCCATCACATGATGCAGCAAAACATATCCAGTCCCTGGTGTGGAGACACTAGCCTACAGTACAAAAATAAAAGGCCAAGATGTTCTATTGGTGCTTATGATATAGACAAAAGAAGGATTCTTTTACTCAACCTCTTATCCTATAAAATTGTAAATACATAATGGAATCACCAATCTTGACCATTTTTCTTCAAAGAGGAACAGCATGGTATAAGTTTGTGGTGCCTCAGGGTGACATAGCTACCCCTATGCGCTAATTATTAGAAAGTAACTTAAATACCAGATTGATAAATCTCCTTACTTTCAATAAAGCACTTACCGTACTCCCTATCACAGCATTTGTTGCAAGGGTTGCCTTCAGAACATCTGTCTGTATATATTAATAGTCAATGACAGTCATAGGCTGCTAAACAGAAAACTCTACTTTAAAAATATGAATATATGATGTATACTATGTATGCATGTATGCTTGTCTGTGTGTGATTGATTGAGTAAATGATTTACCAAGATCGCTGACCACAAAAACAATTTACTTGGGAAATCTGTATGGACAGAACTCTCATTCAAACATTCAAATAAACATTTCATTCCTAAATAAACATTGAATGAGAATATTTTATCAGTTGAAGGAGAATATTCTATCAGTTGAAGCAAAATATTCGTATGTAAACATTGCATTCCTTTTGCAATAGATAAAAGACAACAAACACCGCAAAACACGATAATGTGTCTCAACAAATTAAAAACTGATTCTTATAAGTGACATTTGACATGCTTACAATGAACTTAGATCAGTGATAAGAGAACTATTTATAATAAGAACAATGAGCTTAAGTAAGTTAAGAAATAAAACAATTATTGATTATGAAACCAAGGAAACCAAAAAACAAAATTCTTGACCATTAAAATTGATGAAGTTAATAAATTAGAAATTTGAAAAGAAAACAGATTAAATTACTACCTCAAACCAGTTGTTCAAAACCTTTGAAGCTGGAGACAATAAAAGGTCCATAAAGTCCCTGACACAAACAAATAAATGAATATGATGTAAGGTTCAAACCAAAACTTGAGACCCAGATATTGACTTGACAAAGTTAAGTATCCCAGGCCGCAGGTGTGGTGGTCATCCTGTTAGTGATCCACCCACACCGCCTGGGTTGAAATCCCTTCGACCCCTTCTCCCTTCCCCAATTCCAAAAATTCCCTTGTATGAGAAAAAGGCATTCATTGCATAGCTGAAATAAAAATGAACTCGTCATATTACAAAGAAGCTCTTACACCATGTCTTTCTGCCCCAAGGAAATAGCCTGCTGCTGTAAACAAGCCCAAAAGGCTGACTTGGATATTTTATCATGGAAGCAATCCTTGACTGATGAGTTACTTTGCAAAGATTCAGGAGTTGGTGAATCCAAGAGTGGATCCATGAATTTAGAAAAGTTCTCCAACTGATTCTCATATCTGTGAATCCAAATAAGCACAATCAAATAAAAAAATGTAAAACAGCCGGACAAAAGCATGCACATCACAAACTACAGAATCATGATTGATTATGTCAGGAAAATGATTTCATACTATTAAATAGCATTTATTATTTGTACTCAGTAAACCTTGTGTTTTAAACCTTACGTTGAACTGCTTCTTGCAACAAACTTGATGATTTTCTTTAGCTTCATGCTAATCCCAGTGACATTTACACAAGATAAAAATTAATTGTTCCCTTTGTGCTTGCTTCAATTTAATCTAACACCTTGTTCAAATCCTATGCTACAGCTATAATACCTTGGATTAGGAATCAGTAACAATACTTTTTTTATCAGCACCAAAAGTATATTCCACCCTCAGTCCCCCTACTTCACATCTTATTGGAATAATAATGCAATTCCGGAGAGCTCTCTATTTAAGTTCAAAACTCAGATCACACATAATGCCAATCTGCTCTTCCACAGGAAAGAATAACATCACATACAATGCAATGCAATGCAGATTATCAATTGAATTAGAAGTAGAATAAGAGCAGTAAGCACCTTGGATAAGCATCCGCATCTCGTTTTGAGAACTGCAAAATCTCAGAATGATTAAGCTCCTTGTTAGGTCCTAACAGAAGATACCTTCCATCCAAACATGGCGTGAATGAAGACGGACTCCTCTTCAACAACTTCAATCCATGTCTTGCTAGCTCTAGTTCTCTACAAAAGAAAAACTAAACGATGAACAATCGGATCGAAGTTAAAGAGAAAGAAAAACTACCTAATCGAAAAATGCAGACCAAAACCTGGTGGTTGACGGACGAAGGAGGCCCTGGAGGTAGCTACATCGAGAGAACTTGAAGCCAAGGATGAGTTCTTCGGTCACTGCAGCGCCGCCAATGACATGGCGGCGCTCGAGCACTGCAACAGAGAGGCCGCCGCGAGCTAAGTAAGCGGCGGCTGTCAAGCCGTTGTGGCCGCCTCCTATCACCAGAGCGTCCCATTTCTTCTCTTTCAGCACGCGAATCATATCCGCGTTGCTGCTGGTGTTGAAGCTCCTCCGCCACATTTGCTTCCGCCAATGTGAGGATCTCTGTGCAGTTAGTGCTGTGGAGCGCGGAGACTGATGATGTGATTTGTTGTGGTGAGTTTAATCATGGTAACTAGCGCGATTGAAGTAGTACCTGTAAGTGTAGGATCGAGATCATTGATCTCGTACATATTACGAAGATATTT